AAACTACGATTATACGTCGATTACCGCATGCTAAACGAAATGACGATCAAGAACCGCTACCCACTACCACTCATCAACGAAATAAGACGACTCCTTCATGGAGCCAACTGGTTCACAGCCCTCGACCTCAAAGGAGCCTATAACTTGATCAGGATGAAGCAAGGAGAAGAATGGAAAACCGCTTTCAGAACCCGAAAAGGACATTTCGAGTACCTCGTCATGCCCTTCAGCCTCACCAACGCCCTTGCAACATTCCAAAATATGATCAACTAAGTCTTACGCAAGTACGTTAACATCTGCGTAGTAGTCTATCTCGACGACATCCTCATCTTCTCATCAACACTTGAGAAACATAAGGAAGACGTACACCACGTCTTACAAGCCCTCTAAGAAGCCAAGCTATTAGTTGAACCTGAGAAAAGCGAATTCCACACACAGAGGGTGGAATATCTCAGATTCACTATCACCCCTGGAAAAGTCTGTATGTCAGAAAACAAAGTCAAAGCCATCAAGGAATGGCTGGTACCTAACAACCTCAAGGAAGTCCAAGGATTTCTAGGTTTCATCAACTTCTACTGCAAATTCATCAAAGACTATGGCAAGATCAACGCGGCTCTCACAAGCCTCAGCCGCAAAGATACGCCCTTTATATGGGAAGAACCACAACGAACAGCATTCCAGAAGATCAAGGACCTCATCGCCAGTAAGCCCGTCTTAAGCATTCCAGATCCAACAAAACAGTTCGAAGTAGAACCCGACGCATCCGACTATGCGATAGGAGCACAATTATCACAACGAGATTCAGAAGGACGACTACACCCATATGCCTTCTTTTCTCGCAAGCTCCACGGACCTGAACTCAACTATCAGGTTCACGATAAGGAACTTATGGCAATCATCGAAGCCTTTAGGGAATAGAGACCTAAGCTCTCAGGAACCACACACGAAGTACTTATGTATTCAGACCACAAGAACCTTTCACACTTCACGACTTCAAAAGTGTTGAATAAACGACAGATTAGATAGTTAGAATTCCTATCAGAATTCAACTTCTGAATCATCCACCGCAAAGGATCAGATAATAGCAGAGCTGACGCTCTCAGCCGACGACCAGACTATAACGTCCCAGTACCTGAAGAAACCTAGGTGATTCTCAAAGGAAACAACAACGGAGACCTAGTGCTAGCAACCAAACTCTTGATGATGGCCGGACGATCTAGTACTAGCCCGCCTAGCGAACTAGACGACGAAGCAATTATGGAGTTTCATGCTCGCCCTGCATATGGTCACCAAGGAATCACGAAAACCTGGAAACGACTATGATAACAATATAGAGAAAAAGTCACCAGAGAACGAGTGGCAAAAGCAATTAAGGATTGTGAGGTTTGCCTCAAAAGCAAACCTGCTCGACATCAACCTTATGGCATGCTACAACCCTTGCCTGTGCCGCAAACCGCCTGGCAATCCATATCCCTCGACTTCATCGTCAAATTACCGAAGTCTCGAGAACCCCTTACGGGAACACACTTTGACAGCGTCCTTGTTATTGTGGACCGACTCACGAAGTATGCCTACTTCATCCCGTATAAAGAAGCAAGTAACGCTGAAGAATGTGCCTACATATTTCTTAAATATATCATCGCCAACCATAGAACGCCCAGAGAGATTATATCAGACAGAGATAAGATCTTCACTTCTAAGTTCTGGAAGTCAATCACATCACAACTCAGCATCAAACAGTTAATGTCCACTGCATTCCACCTGCAGACCGACGGACAAACAGAACGAATCAACTAAATCCTCGAAACATACCTCCACGCCTACGTCAACTACAACCAAGACAATTAGGTTGTACTGCTACTAATAGCCCAGTTCGCCTACAACAGCGCAGTAGGAGAAAGTACTAAGGAATCCCCCTTCTACCTCAACTATAGATTCGAACCAACCGCCTATAGAGAACCCTAAACAGGCCCAGCTGCAGTAAAAGCTGTCGCCTCAATACGCTAAATCAAGGATATCCAGGAAAACGCACGCAAAGAACTCGAATTCATACGAAAAAGAATGACAAAATTCAGCAACAAACGAAGGATTGAGGGACCAACCTTGAAAGAGGGAGATAGCGCCTATCTTATACGGCGAAACATCAAAACAAAGCGACCAAACGACAAACTCAACTATAAAAAACTCAGACCTTTCAAAATTTCACGAGTAATCTCACCAGTCAACTACGAACTAGGACTCCCAGAAACCATGAAGTGTCACCCAGTATTCCATGTCTCACTCCTCAAACCAGCACCACGTGGATCACAGACAAACGATATTATCATCGTCGAAGACAACAAACCAGAATACGAAGTCGAACGAATCATCAACCATCTCAAGGAACCAGAAGGGTATCAATACCTCGTCAAATAGAAAGGATACAGACACAAAGACAACATATAGGAACCAGCCAAAAACATCACCAACGCAGCAGAAGAACTTACGATCTACTGGCAACAACACTAAGAACGAGAAGCCACACCAACACCTGTTATACTAGTCCAAAAGAGCGCTGGATATAAACGAATTAGGCACCTATATCGCTTCACCAGACCACCCACTGAAACCGATCGACTGCGACAAGGAAAACCATTTATCCGCCTAGGGACACCAGAAATCAACTAAGACGCCTCCGATAAGAAGTTTAGAGTGCCAGGATTCCAGTCAAGAATCAAGTCCAGATCTACCGTACCAAAACCACCCATAGACTGAACCTCCGATACAGAAGACGCCACTAGCTCCTCCTCGGTAACCTCCCGACCTTTCCGAAACACTATTCTCTTCTGCTTACGCAAACGATCCAACCGCGCCATGGACTCGTCCAACTCAGCCTGCGCAGCACGCAAGGCAGCAGCCTTCTTTCTTAACACCTCCTCTTCAGCCACCTCCGCATCCTCCAAACGAGCTGCTTCGTCCAACAAGCGATCAACTACGAGAAAGTCAGCACCAACCACAAAGCACAAGGAAAAACAAAACGTACGAGCACAAACAGCGTCTGCCGCTGCATCACAAGACTGCCCTAAGCGAGTATATTCGCCACAAACTTCACCGCCCAGAAGAAGTTTGCAACGCTTCCCTGCGGAACGACAGTAAGAACAAGGCATGTCGACAACAAAACCAAACTCAGCGATACGCAGCGCACGATTGCGACGACGAAGAGTAGAGGCAGAACTCGATTTCGATTTTTGAACGCGACCTGACATGGTGTCAGCATCATGGGTAAATCAGGAAGCACGATTGACGGATCCCCAACCTGGGACTAACGACCTACTTATGTTGGGTCTTGAGGGCAAGACCTTTGAAGAGGGGACCTGATGTTACGACCCGTTATGCATGGATAACAGTTGACCGACCCACTTGGGCGCCGGGCGGCTAGGACAGGATATTTGTACTGCAGGATCATGGGAACAACAGGAACTCACTCGGCACGGAAGAACTATGGTACAAGTCACGTGACGATAAGATAAGGAAACGATCAGTGGAGCACAGGAAGGAACGCTCAGTGATCAGTTGGCTTTGCCAACTGATCGCGATCACCTCATGCACCTAGGTGATCACCCTTAGATAGACAAAGACCACTGTTCAGAACTTGTATATAGTATGACCCTGAGCCTGGCTCATGGTCAGACTTCCATAGCTCTTCAGCAATCAACTTAGTATTCATCCTCACGGATACTCTCAGCTTACCTTCACTGCGAAATCACTTATTGAGTCTAAGACTGATCACCTTGGCCTCTGAAGAACCGATCTACTACAGCCTACGAACTACGACCTACGACCACGACCCAGTATACTGTTAGAACGTATCAATCCCCAGCTTCTGTTAGCAGACCCTACTGTCGGATAGCTGACCGTAACAACTACATTTAAAATAGTAATAGATAGTATTAGTATAATATAGTAATAATATCTTAATATTAAAAGAGTAATAAGTTATAGTAGTATAAAAAAGGAGATATTTACTTCTTAGTAATTTACGCTCTTTTTATATACCCCTATAAATAGCTATAGAGGTTTTTCTATAAACTATCCTAGTTTTCGAATATTTCCCCGTGAGAGTTATACGGTAGTTAATAAAGTGCGCCTCTAGGCGGCAAACTACGGAAGAAAAGTTAGAAGGGAAGAAAGATAAGATCTACAGCAGGCTTCCGTTATATCTGATTGCACTAATTATAGAAGATAGAAATTGTGGTTTAATGTTCAAGATTTGGCGTTATCTTTCGCGAATCGGGGCCGCGAGGAGGCCAGCAACTATAATAACCACAGAGAAGCAGCATCAACTGATCTCCGGAAAGGCATCCTTCAACCTCTCAAGTCTTTCGACGAGCCAACCTGACGCTGCTTGATTTCATTTCTTCAATACCCAACGATGCTATTCCAACAAGCGATGATTTTCGCCTCAATGGCGCTCAGTGTTTCCGCTGTTTGTCGTCAATCAGTTTCTACATGGTGCAAAGGGATGGGAGGCCTGGAGGCCCGCTACGACCAGGGATGGATTTGCGACAAAGAGTTGGACGTTCCTTGCCTCACAGGCTGTATCGTCAATCCGAACAAAAATGAGACGGAGGGGGTGATGGGATTCTTGAGATGCTGCAAGCCCTGCAGCTGGTAAGGCAGCACCCATGTTACGAATGTTGACGGCATTAATGCTTATCGAGTTACAGATGCATGAACAAAGTCCGATCAAAGGTTTCTGGTCGAGATTGGAATGAAGAGACGGATCCACATTGGATCTTTCGTCGTCACAGTGTAGCCCGGCGGTATGGAATAGGGCTGATCGAGAAAGGGCCTGTAGTATCCCAGCGTTGTGCATTATCTCTACTTGTTGATCTTATTTTTTTTCATCGGCTGAGTAACGGCATTTGTTCTTTTGGTTGTACGTATGAAGTTTATCGAATCAAATTTGAGAAACAATGGTTGGAATTTCACGGCTATGCGAAAGTGTTCTATTAACCTATCTAGAGGCCCAGGTCGCTGTCGTATCTTCGCAGCGGTGTAGCTGGAGACGATGGCGTCCGAGTTGGAGTCCCGAACTCGATCATATGGAGCTCTCTGGCCTGTGAATTCGATAGACATCCTTCATAATCACCGCGAGGGCTCCCTGCGGGAGTCATGTATGCCATCTCCGGGAAGGACGACGGTGCCTGATTGCCAGCAGACTTATCCGACAGCTTTGAGAGCCATCTACGGGAACCGTGGCTGGAGTTGCGAGACCGATCTGAGCAGCCAAGCAACGGCCTCATGATGGGTATGCAAGCGCATATAATAGCGGAAGTTGGCTCAGCGATGCTGAACAAGACAAGGGGGACGGCGTCGAAGAATGGGTCGGTGGAGTTTACTCCCAAGGGAAGGTTGACCATTCTGACTACTGATATGGCGCCAGTGCTTGAGGGCCGCATGTCAGCATGAATCTTTCGAGTTGCAGTGTGATGGTCGATTCGCTTACAAGATACCAACGGCAAAACTGGCGATTAGTCCAGCCTTTTGCATCGTCGCAAGTTTTAGACTACCCACCAGAGGGAGGGGAAGAATAAAGATGATGATGTCGGTGGCAAGATGTACAGCGGCGTTCACATAACCCCAAATCAGGAAAGCGCTTTGGTCCGAGTTGGCGGCGTACTCGGGATCCAAGAGTTTCTTGGTCACGAAGACTCCAGAGAGGAGCATCGATGCCATGATGACGGCGGTTGCAGCTAGCATTACGTCGCAAAATAGTTGAACAGAAGGTAGTGCGAAGGCTCGCCGGTACTGGAGCAGAAAGGTAGCTTTGATCGAGGCGAACGCAACTTGGTAAGTGAGGACCGTTGTTATGAGGAACTATTGATGTCAGCAATACGCTTAGGATGTGAATATCGAACTTACCCTGCTGTCGATAGCTAGGCGCTCAGGAGCTGCGTCCCACCAGTGCAGGCCAAGAGAGCCTTTTTCTACATCTGAATGAGAACGGGGTTTAGCATTGATATCGCGGATACCTGATGAGATAGGCTGTTCCTTACTAAAGTAGACAGGTATGGCAAGGCCCAAGATAAAAACCTAGTTATTGTCAGTCAGAAGATCAGAATTCGTCCCGGGGTGACTTGCCCCTGATAAGATGTACGATGAATCATCCCAACCCCATGCCTTCAGCATAAATCCCCTGATGTATGTTCGGATGCCCATGAATATGACAACGAGCGCGAGGAGGGCTGATGTGACCCCGACGACTAGTCCCTGTCGATTGTCATGAGGAAGGGACTCCGGTGAGCTTGGGCTCGGAAACGGCCCGGATGCTGTGACGTTCAGCGCCATGACGGTGGGGATTTACGGCCAAGATTGGTCGGGCTGGCGGCGGGAGGAGCCGTCGGGCCCCGGAGACGATCGCTCACGATGGGGGCAAAACAAAGCTGTCGATCTAGTAACTGGCGTGATGTTTGTCAGGGAGAATACAGTTCTCCAGCTCGCAAAAAAGCGAATCGAGTCAATTGACGATATTTCACAGTATGTATGCACATTGAAATGAAGAAAGGGGAAAAGGTTTCTAGACACCCAAGAGCCAGGGAGGGCTCTTCGGATCAACGTAGAATGTTCCTTGTGGCGGAATGCCAGTGGCTTGGCTGAGTTGGCGCTAGCTGTTATCAACACCGGAGTTGGAAACCTAGGATCTTCGTCTACCGAATCCAGGCCGGTTGCGGGCCCCGACGAGAACGGACATGCCAAATCACTGGCTAAAAGATGACGGTACACGCAGAAATTCTCGATCGTGTTCTAACGGTCTGGGATGTTCCGCTCTTTGTTGCGGCTTCTGCGAGTCCACAGTGGTCTAGAATCAATCATGGGCATATGGAAAGAAGAGCTCCCAAGCGGAAGACGTTCAACGGATGCCTTACCATTCTGCTGGAAGTGGACTTTTGATCATGGATAGTTCATGTTGAAATCTTGACTTGAGAGAGCTACCAGAGCTCGAGATCCATGTCAATGTTGGGCCTATTCCGCCTTCATATGATGCTGCCTAAGAGAGTCTTGGAAAAGAAGGCCTGGAAGCGCTTTTGAACGCAATTCTGCCGCCCAGTATGATTTTCAACCATACACGAAGGGGTACAAGTGATAGCTAGATCATTAGAACTCGACTGATATAGTCGCCTAATGTCCATACAAGCACAAATGGAATCTGTTAATAATGTTAATACCCATGTAGTGGCCAGGGAGCAGATGGAGTGCAGCTGTCAGGTCGGTTCAGCGACCGGGGTGATCCCTAGCGCGGGGCTAAAGGCTACGTAATGACGTGCAGCAGACGAATCTTTAGTGGGATGCACGCTAACTCAAGACCGTCAGCAAACACCTTGCGCCCGCCACCGTCCAAGTCCCAATCTGGACAAAATCATCAACCAACAAACACCCACCTCACGCGGTCGCGGTCTTCCCGCGTCCCACGAAACGATGAACACGTCCACATGTCCCCTCACGCGCCCGACACTTCGACGACCTCGACCAGCATAGCCTTCGCCGACGAAGATGAGCCCTTTACCCCGAAACCTCTGATCCACGATCTCCTGCGAACCCGCTACTGCATCCCCGGCTCCGTCTTTCTTGTCGAGCACATTGAGTCGCTTGCTGTCGCCCCTTCGACGCGCTGGAGAGCCGTGAGACTGTTACTCGGGGATGGCGAACTATGTATACAGGCGCTCCTGCGTGGAGAGGTGCATCGGTTCTTGGATACGGGAGCTGTGAGGGTCGGATGCTACGTCCGGCTGGGCGAGGTGACGGTTCATTTCCAGGACGTCGCTGCTGAGGACGAGGGCAACGGGAAGACAAGGCAGATGGTGTACCTAACTGTCGAAGATCTTGTCACCGTTGGATGGCACCGCGCACTCACGGATCCTGACGCAAAGTTATTGAAGCCTGAGGCGCAACCAACGGAGGAAGACATCATTTCCGACAGCGACTTGGATATTGACGATTTCGAACCACCCACTACACCGACTACACCGACAAAAGCTCACAAACCTCCAAATACTCCTGCCCGAAGGCAAATCCCACGCCCTCCTCCGAAGCAACCCAGAACTGTTCGCGAAACCGACGATGAGGACGACGACGCTGAAGATGGGTTCGAGGTTATGCGGGTATCAGAGACGAAGGCAACACAACGCCGAGCTCAAGCAAGAAGCATGGGACGACCGGTTGCCCTCCCACGTGACTGGACCGACCCGAGCGTCCCGTTGAAGTTGACGAACCTCAAATCCATACCAAACCTGCCCTTCAAGCAGAATTGGTCCGTCAATGTCCTCGCCGTGGTCGCCTCGCTTTCCGATGTCGAACCTTCACACATGCCGCCGCATACTCAAAGAACCGCACGATTAGTCGACCCTAGCACTAGCAAGCAGGTCATCTTGACCGTGTTTCTGGACGCGGAAAACTTTTGTCCTAACGTTGGTAACGTGGTGCTGCTAGTCGGGGTCAAGAATCACCGGTTCGATGGGGGTTGCTTGAAGAAGTATGTCAGCGACCGGCCTATGCCCGGCAATAGGTGGTGGTTCGAGGAGCCTCGACAATTCGGCTGGTGCGACGTGGACGGCCTGAAGGCATGGTGGGAGCAAAAGCAGTTGCAAGGGGCCGGCTTGGACGGCACATGACTCGAGAGAGGGGATGGTGCAGCAACGTCAAGAACGTCAAAAGCCTTGGTATTGGTTTCAGATACTACGACGGCTAGGCCGTGTTGGATCGGACTTGCGAATCCGACAGAATTTCTGACAGCTGAGGCTGTGCTGTTGTGATGCGACCTAGCACGATTAACACATCACACAAGAGAGCTTTTCCACGGGGACATGATCCGTCAACGTCTAGCTAACCCCCCACGCGCCGAGAACATTCCGTCTACCTTGCGAGGTGTTTCCACCACTCTGCATCTCCAGCCTCTTGACTCGGTTCACTAAAAGGCCCACGCAAACGGGGCCGACGATGGTGCAGAGAGAAATGGCCCACGTCACGATGAGGAAGAGCTCCGATGGCTCCGCGGGGCTCCCCGAGCTGCCGCTGAAGATGCCTGTGCTTTCCGCGAGGGCGGAGATTAGGAAGCCGATTTCCCCGCGGGCGACCATCGCGAAAGCGAGGATGCAGGCCGGATACACGGAAACCGGCATTTCGGGCTTGGGTGACGCGTTCTTCGGGGTCGGCTCAGTGTGCCGGTCACCCAAGGGCTGGAGGGGAACGTCCTCGGGCTGGGCCACCCCTTCTCCGGTCTGCGCTTGTTGCGCCGGTTCATTTGGGGGTGATTCCGACGCGGCACTCCCGGCACATTGCGCACCAGGCGCGAGCTTCTTAGACTGTCTCTTTCCAGTCCCGGAAACTTTCTTGATGAGGCGTTGCACGGTCTGAAGGGGGCTGGCGAATGAAAGCAACCAGATCCCGCAGAGCATCTTGCTGATGATCATGAGGATGGTGTAGACCAGACCCCGCCACACGATGGGACCTGAGAACATTCTCATGATGGGCACAGAAAAGCCGATTGATGCCTGCGGAGGTTAGCATAGATAAGAAGCAGTGAATGACAAGACTCACAAAGAAGAATGGTTTTAAGACTCGCTCGACCGCCTGGTGGTAGTAGTGCTCGTAGATTTCCGACCCCGAGTTTTCAGCCGCCGGCGCACTCTCCGTCGCTGGTGATGGCACGGCACCGTTCGCCTCACGAGGCGAAGAATCTGATTTTACTCCCTCTTGACTGGCACTCGTCTCAGACTGCTTAGCTGCAACTCTTTCTGGCAGAGCTGCAGCATGCGGCACCTCGGAATCCCACCAGCTGACCGTGGCTCCGGCAACATACGCAGCCAAAAGACTCGATGTCCCAGCAAAGGTACCTCCAATCACGAGGCCGAACAACCAGAGCGTGTGGATGACAAATGCAGTCTGCCTTTGTCGTAAAAGCCGGCCGACCCTTGACCCAGGAGTCTTCTCCCGGACGGCATTCAGCCATACTGTAGCAGGCTGCACGATGAACCTACACGCAGCCGGGACGACCACAGCAAAGCCCAGCGACACAAAGACGGGCCGAATTACTGTCACTGCGTCGAACCCACCGCCTCCCCCGCCGAGGTTGGACACGACCTGCACCATGATGAGACCCACAACGTCATCCATCATGGCAGCGCTGGTGAGCACGACGCCCAACCGCGTGGTCGCCAAGCCGCTGGTCCCGAGGACGATGAACGTGGTGCCGAGACTAGTCGAGCAGAGCGCGGCGCCGGCTGCGAAAGCCTGGAGGGGCGATGCACCGACGAGGGAGCGGAGGGTGAAGGACAGACCGATGGGGACGACGATGCCTGTAATGGCGACGCCAGTTGAGAGGAGGAGGTTCGCTTTGAGGGATTTGAAAGATGTAGACAGACCGCCTTATTGCGTTATGCCAGTCAGCGAGTATGTTCCTTACTTTGCAATTGCTGGTTGAGACTCACCTTCATAGACAATGAGAATCAGGCCGAGATATCCCAGCTGCATGACGGCGTTCTCCGTCTCCGCGGACAGCCACTGCGCGCCGGGCGTGCCCCACGCGATGCCGAGGAAGACCTGCCCGATGAGGCCGCAGTAGACGAGCTTGTCGAGGCCATAGTTGACGGTGTTGAGCAGCAGCAGGAAGCCGGAGAGGATGATGATGGTGGTGATGGAGGGCTCATGGTAAGCCAGTGAGGATGCGGATGTTGCCATTGTAAGCCATTGGGGTTGAACGTACGCGACGTTGGCTCGACGCGTGTGTGTTGAGATACTTGAGATGAGATGGGTATCACTTGAGCGCGTAGGCGGTCGGCGTCGTTTTTGATCTGTCGAGGACGGCAACACGGCCCATGGCACTGTGTCCGAATCAGGGGTGAAGTCAGGTGAAGCTGCAAAATTGGCGCGTCCTGCTTGGCGTGCCGTTGTTCACCGTGATGAACGGCTTGGCGGGTGCGCTGGATTTGTTAATGGTGTGACGTCATACATACAGGGATCTTACTGAATGGACGCTGACAGCTCGGAATTAAGACACTTTTAGATGGACAGAAGCCCGATGTCATCTGAAACATGGATGGCTACGAGCGAATAACCTAACATGAAGAGCAACATGTAACACGCGGTTTTGGGGTTATGAACTCCATCGACAAGTGGCATTTGACAACACATGGGGTTTGTCTTCAACAAAACAGGTAACAATCAAAGGAACACGGACGAGCTTTGCGAAAATAAAAAACAATCAAATTCAGACTGTTCCAGCCAGGTATAAATCTAAAATCAAAGCAACGCCCCCCCGGAACCAAAACCACATGCCAATGCAAATCCAAAGCCCCCAAACTGCCAGGCCCGCTGCCAAGTCTCGTGTCGTCCAGCCACGGTTTCTTGCCATCGCTCCCGATGAGTTCATCTCAGTCATTTCCATACAGACAGTGAGTTATAGCCAAACCTCGCTTCCCACACCGTACACCCAAATCACCAAAATCCTAGTGAGACGGCTGTTCATGGCTGGCGGGCAGGATGGCGGGCAGGCTGGCGTTCCTCCTCCTCCGCTTGGTCTTCTTGCCGCCGGGCGGCGGCGGCGGGGTCGCGGTGCCGTTGGCGGGCGCCGCAGCGGGCGGGATCGCGCCGCCGCGGTTGAGGCACGAGGTGTTGTCCGGGTTCGCGAGGTTGATGGGCACCTGCAGGACCTGGTTGACGTCGATGAAGTCCGGATTCGGGATGTTGTTGAGCTTGGCGATGTCGCAGATGCCCGAGTTGAAGAGGCGCGCGATCTGGCCGAGCGTGTCGCCCTTGATGACCGTCAGGGTGATTGTGCGGTTGGCGTTGTTGACGGGGCCGCCGCCGCCGGGGGGCGCGCTCGTCAGCGGCGGAGGCGGCGTCGCGGCTTGTCTTCGCGTCGGGGGCGGCTCTGTGGGGGTGGAAGCCTGGCGGGGGTAGAACATGTGCGTGAGGCCGCGGGTGATGAGGCCCCGGGGCTCGGACTGGAGATGGGTGGTGTCGGTTGTGGGCGTGGCTTGCGCGAGGCCTGAGAGGCCGGCGAGGGCCAGGCAAAGGATTGAAGATCGCATTGTTGCTGAGAGTTTGCGTTGGTGGTGTTGAGGTAGAGATTGTTGTTGGTGTAAGTGAGCGAATGGCCGGAGACTTTAGCAGAAGTCTTCTTACACACTGAAAGATACGGGATGCCGGGGAGTTAAGGAATCAAAAGAGTGTCCAATACCAGGGAAGCTGTGGTTGGTTTGGAATGAATGGCGTGGTCCTGGGAGAGGTGAGACGATTTCCCCCACGTCTGTCAAGACAACTTTATATCGCACATATTACCACCATCGCCTTCACTCATAAAGTGGCCGGCCGTCCCTTCGAGACAAGGCCAGACAGCCCCGTCGTCGCAGACGGAAATGCGATTGGCCGGATATTGGGGTTCGAGGTTGACGTGCCCATCCCAGCAGCAGAAAGACCATGTCATATCCACCTCAATGTGACCGGCTTAACAGACACTAAGCCCTGTCGCCCTACGAACCCCTGCGGCGGTAGAAGACAGATTAGCGGGCGCTAGCGACATTCTTCCTGAAGAGACAACGTGGTAGCCATTCTGAGAACCGCAACGTGGGCAGGCCGCCCGCCCACGCCGAAGATAGCGTGTGGTAAAGCTAAAAATATGGGGCTGGGATGGACTCAAACGGCAGCGAGCGCGGGGTCGATTGGCTGGTTTGTGCTGGTTGAGTCAGTTGTCGGTAGTTGGCTGTTGCAGTTGTTGCAGAGTTGACAAGGAAGAGGCGCCGAAGATGGGACAGAGGGCCCAGCAACTTGAGACGGAGCCCACCTGTTCCCAGACAGTTGCACACATACTTTTCGAAAGTTTATCACGAACCACGACGTGGTGAAGGAGCTCTCCGCCGCCCATCGCGAGTCATATCCTGCGCGAAAGGCTCGCGCAAGAGGCCTGACTTGGCGCGGGAAGCTCAGGCTCCCGGACGCAGGAGTTCGAACACCACCCACTCAAGGAGGTGATGCCCAACACATATCGTTGACGAAGTGAAACGAATTCTACGGATCTCCCTGCTTGTCAAAGTCTTTCAACTGTGAGGAGGAGGCTCGCATTTCCTAGGAGATACCGTCTTCTCGGTGGACGAAGCACTGCCACCCAATGATCTGGAATGATTTGCGAATGGTCGGACGAACTAGTGCGTTTTGGTGGCCACACCAATCGCGTGTATGATCTTCGACAGGGAAAGCTTCCTACAAACCTAAATCAACCAAGCCACTCTGCTTGGCTGTCGTGGAGCCCAAAATCTCTAATTCTTACCTGTGTTGCCAAGTTGTTGTCAATCTGGTGATAGAGGAAATGGTCAGCTTATGAGGTATCCATATTGCTGAAACTGGTGACAAAAAACATCTCAATGATTCTTACAATTCGAGTTCGACTCGGCGACTGCGCCTTCCGGTATCTCGGCATCGACAATTGGAACTATGCATCTCGCATCTCAAATATCTCACGATATCAAGTTGCGCATGCGACGCTGGCAGATGTTCAGATTTGCAATGCGATTGCATGAGCGTTGTAAAGACGAGACTCGACTTCAAGGGTTTAGTCATCTGTGAAGCGTTGTTGTGACTACAACTGCTCAGCATCAACGCCCTAGCTAATTCTACAGCCGTTTCGGCATGGGCTTGTAGACTCTGTACTTGTTCAACCCCCCTTGGCCATGGTAGCGCGTCGTGACATGAAGCGACCAGACGTCCATGCCAATTATCCATGCGATGCAGCCCTCAAGGAGTAGTTTCTAGTGTTCGTAGTCCTTCATCGTTTCTGTAGTGGGCATGTTCTCAGACAAGTCGATAAAGGTGCTGACAAGCTCCCGGGTCTCCGCCCCGAGTCGATCCATGGCTTCTTGTACTCCAATATCGAACTCGTTCATCATGATCCTGACACCATTATGGCTGTCCTCGCCCTTGGCCTGCTCTTTGTCGAAGCTGTACATATCATTCTGGTTGATGATAATTCTGAAGCACATGTTCATGAGAGACTGAATCGTAGGCTCCTCCCAAGACTCGCGCCGCACCTCGCACTTGATCAGAAGAAACGCTATGCTCGGGTACATGCCGATCGTTTTCTGACGCACGGTCATGTACTCATTCCGGCTGGGTAGTGCGGGCAGCCTGCGGCGAAGGCCCGCCTCCTCAACGACGCCGTCCAAGTAATCATTGAACAAGTCCCTGAAGAGTTGCCAAGACTCCTTGGTGCCTATCTCGAGGTATCTCTCGGCAACATCTTTCGCCATGAGCTCCAAAGATGACAGCTGCTCTGAGGACTTTGGCTTCTTGTGGGCAGCACCCGAAAAGTAGAATGCGTCCTTGACTATTGAGCACTGCCTTCGGACTTCTTCTTCGTCCCTGGTATCCGTCGTCTCATCGATGACAAAGAACAGAAGCATCACCTGTGCAGCTAGAAGGCAAGAAGCCGTGTCCATGTGCGCATAGTTGATACAAGCTATCTCGGGGAAGCTGGCGGCGATGATCTTGTTGATGAAGTTTGCCGGAATTCCGGAGAAGGACCGCATCCATGTCTCGGCCTCGCTTTTGATGCTTTCGGAATCTGGGTGCAGCTCTACTCGCCAAGGCCATCCTTTTTCGGCCGGCCAACGGGCCAAAAAGTCGGGGATAGTGACCATAGTATCTACTCCCCTGTTGATGAATATCATATCGTAATTCATCTTGTCGTTGTAAGTTTGTGCCATGATGTAAAGTACTGAAAATGAGTATGAGGCTTCGCCGAAGAGAGAATGAATTCAGGTTGCACATAGTTCTATAGTTCGTCCACGAATAACAGAGTCTACTCCTGATCTCATACTTATAGGCAACATCTATGGATACTTCTGAGCAATGGAAAACATCCCCATTGGCTATGTGAAAGCTATCAATGTTATCTGGTTTCACCGCTACATTCTTGAACCCTTGGAAACAATCCCCGCCATGGGCCATGGCCAACACTTGAAATGCATTCATGTAGCGCTAATGCTCGCGCAGCGTTTGGCACATTCCGAAGAAGGCAGTCGTCATGCGTGGACTACATGACTATTGAAGCCGTGCACCATAGAATGAGTATGTAGCGTTGCATCAAGGCGGCAGATGTGTCTTCATCAGCCTTCGTCCCGGCGCTAGTATCAAGTCCGAGGATGTTTGCTGAGTTGAGCGCCATGTGCGATGCTGCGAAGACAAGCATCAGTACGAGCAAGAGCTCCACTGATTATGCTGTTGGTACCTAGTCGGTTCTTCAGCGACTTGACGAATCTCATGGTCTCCATCGGACAACTAAATCGATTCAAAGCTAAAAGAGACTTGATCCGCGTCGAAGAGGCCGAATTGGGCGTATCTCCGCCTACCATATCACGAAACGATCGGGGCGTCCCACCAACGCGCATGAGGAAACAGGGGTTGGTGACTGGTTCAACTAAACACAGCTGCAACGCGTAATGTAGGGCGATAACGACTGGACGTTATTCCCCAAGGCCGAAGGATCGCCGACAAAGTACCCGTGGAATGTACGTGGACAACCCTCCCCTCATAAGCCAACCTACAAAATGGAAGCTCCAAAGGTATTCAAGAGTCAATATTGTAGTGTTGGTACAAGATTGTCGGACTCTTTCGGTTGGGAAATTGGCCCCGTGTAGGTATTTGTTGTTGTATTTAACGCCGTGGCGGCAAGGGCGCAGCCGCCCTTGCGGCCGACCTCCCGAGGGGTATATGGCGTGGAGGGCCGCAGGCTCAAGCTATATACTCTACAGTACACGCCTCTTCCTAACGTCCTCCAAATCTTGCCCATAGGCTACTATGTGTTCTATCCGTCCCTAGTTCCCGCTGGTTCCCTGGTTCCGTTATACTCGTCAGTTCCTCTACGAGGGGGGGGGGTTCGTTACTAAGGCCTAGGTTCAGACCTAGGCCCTAGTACCGCGGGCAGATCTTCCGGAAGAAATCTGTCACGCAGAGAAAGGCCTGGAAGCCTTCATGATCAGTGATTAGCCCCTTGTAGTATCGATCCAGAGATCCTATTGGTCCTATAGGCTCCTGTGGACTAGAGGGGTGGAGGGTGGGCCACTGAAGCCTCCTCGCTAAGGTCTTTCGGCAGTAGACTAGGTGGTCTGCCTCCTTTGCCTCCCCACAGGAGCAGGTAAGCAGTGCTTCTGTATGGTTAAAGCGTTGATGGTATTGTTCGAAGTCTCCATGGCCTGACCGGGCTGCTAGGAGATGATGGAGTATAGCCCGTGGCAGGGCTAGTTCAGGGGGGCAGGCAAGGGAAGCCTTAAGCCCTAGTTGGGTATAGCGGGGTGTTGCATCTTGCTTCCACCATTTTCTATACTGGCGGCATATACGTTCTCTAGCTAGCCGTTTGATCCCTGACAGGGTGGCTAGTTGGCCCCTAGGGGCTGGCATGGTTGTGCCCTCCTTGGCTAGGCTGTCTGCTTCCTCGTTCCCTTTGATGCCTTCATGCCCTGGGGACCAATAGGTTCGTATGTCATACGTCCTAGCTGCCTCTTAGATCTCAAGGAAGGCCGCTTGTGAGGAGTCTGGGACCCTGCCTCGGATCCCCTGGATAACGCTGGTATTATCGATACAGATATATATAGGCTGGCCCTGGGAGGTAAGGAGGGCCCGTCGGAGCCCTGCCCTCGCCCCCTCAGCCTCCCCATCAAACACTTCTGCTAAGCTGAGGCGGCCGCAGCCCTGGGCTATACGTTTGTTCTTACGATATATAACAAAGCCAAACCCTGTAGCGCCATCAGGGGCCTTAGAGCCGTCTGAGTAGATAATAGTATGCTTATCTGGCACAGTCTTAAGCCAGGCCTGGAAGATCCTTGCTGCTGCTTCCTTCGTCTGTGTGACTATAGGGTGGTGAGACCCTAGGGGGTATTGCGGCTGTAGGAGTGCTGGCCTTGGGCACCTAGGTAAGAGGCCAGCTGTTCTTTGGAGCCTGGTCTGCTGCCGCCCTGGCTGTAGAAGCCTTGGGACCAAGGGATGTTGTTGGTCAACCTTCTGTAGGCGTGTAGCGAAGCGTAGTCGCGCTGCCTCAAGGGCCACCTCTGCTGTTGGTAGGCCAGCATCTCGGATGAGGGCACTGGTTGGTGTGGTCCTCCAGACAGGTAGGATAGCCCTTGCTGCTGCTGTAATAACTCTTCCGACTCTACAGGCTAAACCCTTCTGTCCTGTGCCGACTATACTGGTGCTGCTGTTCAGGGCTGGTCTGGTCAAGCCTGCATACCAGGTCTCAGCTCCATATAGGGCTATTGGGAGGGCGCAAGCAATAGCTGCTTTTCGAACTGCAGCTGCTGGGAGCCCCCCTTTTGTGTTTGTAAGGTGCTGTAGGAAATAGGCTACCTTCTTTGCTGCTGCTACTTTTATTCCTACATGGTGTTGGAAGGTGAGTCTCCTATCAAACCAGACCCCTAACCATCTTATAGGCTTTATTGAGGCCTTGATAGTTAGGCCTCTGGCTTGGATATCTGGTAGGTCTGTTGTCTGTTGATGTTTTCTGCTGAAGTGGATTGCCTCACACTTAGCTGGGTCAAAGGCGACTTTATTTTCTGTTCCCCAGCTGAGGATACTACTGATCTCCTGGCCTAGGGCTGTAGCGTTCTCTTCTAGCGAGGGGCTAGTAGCTACTAAGCCTATATCATCTGCATAGCCAAACCGTAGCTTCCGATCATCAGCTAGGATATCAGCTATATAGAGCAGGAAGAGGATAGGGGATAGTGGAGAGCCTTGCGGTAGTCCACAGGATAGAGGGAAGTCCTCTGTAGTAGTATCCTCTAGCCTGACGCAGGCTGTTCGGCTAGAGGTGAAGGTGTAGATCAGTCTGATCAGGCTACTAGGCCAGCCCTGCTGTCGTAGCCTGACAATAAGTCGGTTTCGTAAGACGGAATCAAACGCCCCCTTGACGTCCATTGTTGCTAGCGTCGCAGTAAGCCCTGTATCTAGAGCCCTCTCAATCTCATGGGTTAGACAGGTTGTCAGGTCGACTGCAGCCCTCCCTGGTAGGGCTCCAACCTGCTGTGGGCTGGCAACCCCTTCTAGGATAGTAAGGTAGGCCATCCTCTTTGCTATCAGCCGCTCTAAGCCTTTGCCTAAGCAGGACAGCAGGGATATTGGGCGCCAAGACCCAGTCTTAGAGAAATCTGTTTTCCCTGGCTTCTGGGTCATGATAATTTCCGCATTGCGGAAGGGTCTAGGAAAATAGCCTACTTGAACGCAGGCCTGGAAGAGCTGTTGTATAGGCTTGGCTACTAATCCCCAGGTGCATTGTAGCAACTTTGTAGTAATCCTATCAGTCCCAGGGGTTGTAGCTTTTGTCAGAGTAGCCTGGCGTACTTCCTCTATGCTAACTGTATTCTGCCAGGGTATAATACGACTTACAACCACTGGGGTACTAAAAGGGTTCCCAGATAGGTCGTCTGTAGCACTAAATCGCTCTAGTAGAGCCTTTCGCAAGGCTTGGGCTTTATCGTGGGTATTGCTGATCGTCTGTCCTTCCACTATCAGAGGCGGAGCTTTAACTGCTAGGCTAGACTTCCGCCAGCCTATAATTTTATATAGGTCTTGGTCTGTCTTAGCCTCTTCGATCTTAGCAGTCCAGTAGGTGCGTTTCGCCCTTCTCACAGTTGTTAGGAAGACTTTTTGCTCCTCTAGGATAGGGGGAGGTATGACCAGCCCAGGTTCTTGGGCCTGTTGGCGCCTAGCCTTAATAGCAGCTTGGTGGGCTACTGAGCATTCTTCTGTCCACCAGGGGGCTCCCCTACCCTGATTAGTCCGTCTCTTGCCTACAGCTTGAATAGCTGTATGGAAGAGGCTGACCAGTTGGGCAGCTAGGGTGTCCAGCTCTGCTGGGCTGGGCAGTTCCCCTAGAGTAGGTAAGGCTGTAGCCCCAGCCTTTACTAGGTCGATCAGCCGTGGTAGGGCTGACTCCGGGACTGAGAGCTGGTTATCCTGGCGTCCCTGTTCCTGGGCCCTACTCATAGGGATAGTTGTTGTGATGGCTTCGTGGTCAGCCCCTGGGTGTAGGTGTGGGCTGATATAAGCCTCAGTAAAGGGAATATTTGAGAGGGTTAGGTCGAGGGTATGCCCGTGGGTATGGGTAGGGGCCCCAAACTCCCCAATAAACAGAAGATTGTAGCCTTCCGCCCATTCTGCAATATCGTCTCCTCGATTCCGGCTAGGGGACCCAGGTTCCCAAGAGGAGTGGCGGGCATTAAGGTCCCCAGCGATAAGGGCTCTCTCTGGCGGTTGATAATCTAGAAGGAGGCTGGTTGCTTGGTTTATAGGCTCATCTGGCGGCCTATATATGTTCATAATAGTGAGGTCGCCAGCTTTCACCCATAAGATATCTCTTGATTGGGTAGGTCTTTGTTGCTGTATTTGCAGCCTTAGACCTTTGCGTGTGTAGGTCATAACCCTAGGCCTTGTGTCTCTGTTGTTCCAGAAGTCAACTGGTACATAGGAGTTAAAGCCTGGGTGTGTATTAATCTGCATCTTATCTCTATAGCCTATCCAGGGTTCCTGGACCAAAACTATGTCGATCTGATCTGCCCAGCAGAGCTCTAAGAGAGCTGTATGGGCCGGGCTCCTCTTCCCCACATTACACTGGGCAACTCGTAGTACCTGTGGGGTATCTGGCCTGAGCCTATAGCTCTGAGTCGAGGTCGAGGTGGGTGTAGGCATTAACAACGTTATAGTCAGGCTTCTGGGC